GTGTAATTTTTATTTTAAAAAAAGGGACGGACAAAGAGGTCCTATTCGTCGTTTTTTTTTTTAAAAAAAAGCGACGGACGAAGAGGCCCTGTCCGTCGCTTTTATAAAAAAAAATCTAAAAAGTTTTAAAAAATGAAAAAAGTGACGAACAGTGTTGCATTTGCTGTCGCTTTTTTGAAGCAATGCAGTCCGTCATTTTTTCGTCCGTGGTTTTTTTACCTTTTTTTAGTAGTGGACCCAGGGTTGACCAACATGATCGTTACCAGATGCTTGCATTCGCGAAAGTCACTTTATTGGTCTTTACTTTAAAGACTAGTCGTTAATTTAGCTTCAATTGGCATATTTAAAGTTGGATATCTCGAGCTTGGGAGCTCTTGATTGGGTGTTCTAGTTCCTAATTGTCAGGTTTTGGCATGGCTTTATCGTGGGGTTATCAGGAGAGTGCGGGAAGTGCATCTTCGAGGTTCATTTCCATCCCGAAGGACTGCCTGAGCTTCTTTAAATAGTATATTATTTCGTTTTCATGCATGTTGTGATACTGAGCTTGAATTTTCCAATTTTTGGGGGCAAGTTCAGTAAGTTGTTTAGGACCCAAGTACAAGGTCAATTTTAGGATTTTTAGTGCGGGTCCCACAATTTTATTTTTAACTCAATTTTGGGTGCGTCTCTAATTGTATCAGTTTTGGTGTCTAAACGTCTGTATTGATGTTGTGATCACTTCTATGAAAGTGTCGTGGTGATCAGAGGTGTTTTGGAAGAGGAAAGCTCCAGTGCAATGAATTTAGAACGCATATGATCGGCTTCAAGGTAGGCTACAATCTACTTTTCTTGATTGTGCTCCATTAGATAATGTTTAGTATAAAATGCATGTGATTTATATGTCGGATTCTAGGAATCCATCCTTTATTTCCTTTTCTATTGATTCCCATATAAGCTTTTGGCTAGTCCTAGGTGGTAAAATCCTTAGTTTAGGCTAGTACACTTGCTTATAGCATAGTTAGTGCAATCATCCTCCTTAGAATTGATACTTGAGACCTTAGTTTAGCTGGTGACTTAGATGTTTAAGCACGTGTTTTAGCGATCCTTTTAGTTGTCAGGTTCTCCATATAGTGGTTGTTACGATTTTTGTACCTTATGTTAGTGATCAGACTTTAGTTGCTTGTCGTAGACATGATTGGCTTTAGTTGTGCTCGGTTGGGAGCTTGAGTTGTATGTTCGGGGTAAGACATTGATATTTGAGTTATCCACCCCCCTTTGACTATCGAATTCTTCATTGATTCCTTTGTTTCGTGGGTACTACTGATATTGTTATGTTGTTATTGTTGAGGATGTTGGTAGATTGTTAGGATCGAGGCCTTTGTTGAGGACCAGTTAGACTTCAGGTTAGTTTTCTATGCTTTGGAAGCGTGGTAGTTTGTAGTGTTTATCTAGTTGTTAAGCTGCTATTGTTTGAATACTAGTGATGGCATACATTACATTTGATACCTATTTCACGTGTTTTGTGGTATGACTCCAGCTCATGCATTAGATATTTACTACTATTTTCGAAAAAGTTGCTTTTACTCTTTTAAAATTGGTTTTGACGGGAGTTGTACCACTTGGATCACTTTGATAAATTAGTTTTTGAGACATTGGAGGCATCTGGATGTGCTCACCTTTTACTTGATCAGTCAGCGTGTCGGTGCCGCTTTTCTCTATTGATTTGGCTACTTTTACCTCTATTACCATGACAGAGTAGATCTGGTACGGGGATGGATAGCTTTGGAAGTCCTGAATCGGGATCAAACATTGTATACAAACTTCTCGAGTCCGTTATGGTTCCTTCGGTCATGTGACACATTGAACAAGATGATGATATCCGCATAAGTCCTACCTAGTTGTCATGGGCTGGAGGTAGGTATATATACTTGGTTGTGTGGTACTTGGTTTGATGTCTTAGTTGGTTTCTATCACATAAGTTGCATTCATATTCATTTTCGATCACCAATATAATTGATTGTTGCTTGCACCAACCAGTCTTATGGGGGTTGACTGGGTTATGTTTGTTGTTGTGTACCTTCCAGGATTATGGGGGTTTGATTAGGTTTTTGTTCTATAATATGGTTGTGTATCTTATGTTGATCATTTTATAGTAGTTATGTATATCAGTTGTAATTTTTCCTATCTTGGTGTTTTTGATTCGGTTAGGTTTGATTGACCTTTTGGGTGATTATGTGGAGCAGTGGTGTTTACCATTGGTATCCTTGTTTAGTTGGCATCCTTTGTCGTGATTAGGTTGTTAGACTAGCGCATCTAGGTATGTTCCCTTGTTTCGGTCTCTTAGTTAGTGTATTCTATTTCTTCATCTTTGTTTACTTGTATTATCACGTGATACTCCTTCGTTAGTTACGTGTGTTGTGCTTTTCTTATTTACGTGCTCTTTATATTGTCTTTAAGTTTGGAACTTAGTTAGACTATGCCTACTGAGTACCCATTGTTGGTACTCATACTACACTTCTGCATTCTGCAAATCATAGTACAAGTTTTCACCATTTATTTGGGACTCGTGTAGAGCAGCTTTTGGGATTCAAAGACTGGGGTGAGCTCATGACATTCAGAGTTTCCGATCTCCCTCTCTCTTCGATAGGACTGGTCTTTATTTTGCATTCGGAGATAGTTCTATATATATTTGTATTTATAATTTTTTGTACTCCTATTTTGATTGGAAGCTCGACTAGCAGCTGATGTCAGGTCTTTGGGTAATTTTTTATGTTTATATTTTTTAACTCTCCTTCCTCTATATTGATATTGTCCCCCATTCCCCTTGTGTTTTCTTACGCGTGATAGCGCGTTACTCCTGGTTTCGGACTATGGGGTTTGACTTATCTACTGGTAGTGTATAGTAGATGTCATCATGACACACTTCTCACTTTATGCATCAGAGGATATATACAAAGCACGAAACTTTTGGATTGTGTTTAGAATAGTTGTTTTCTCAAATTCTCTCCTTTCCATCACTCACATGGTCAAGATAAGTGAATTCCTCCGTGAATCGACTTTATTTCACCATGGAAGGTCATGGAATCTCACTTCTCCATACTTGAAGCTTGAAGGAAAGCTTGTTTTTTTTTTTTAATAAAAAAAACAAAGTAGAAAACTTGGAATCTCTATCAATTGAGATATTTTTCTCACACATCTTCATCTACGAGCTCGGGTGAGCATTTGTAAGGGTAAGGGGTGAACAAAATCAAATCAAAAACTACACCAAATTGTAGATCGAGTTAAATCGAGAAAAAAAATTGACTAGTGATTTGGTATTGAAAAACAAATCCGACTATACTTGGGTTGGGTTGATTTTAACTTGAAAAATCAACCCAAGATCAAACCAACCCAACATTATATTTATAATTTTTAAATTTATTTCATACATAAAAGTATTTATTTTTATATAATTTATAAATATTTCTTATATTTTTTCATAGTTTTTATATTTTACTAACATATTATGTCAAATTTGACTTAGAACTTCTAATGGTCCAATAAAGGCTATGGTCCATAGATATTATTAGTAACTCTAATAAAGCTCAAATCAAAATCAAATCAATACTAAAGATAACAAAAGAATAATAATTCAACACTAAGAATGACAATAATGTTGAATATGTGTTCTTTAGTTTTACATTGATTTTGACAATTAAATTACATAACTTAATTTTAGTTTTTCTTTAATATTTAGTCATGTAATTAATATTATTAGACTTATTTTAGTATAATTTAGTACTTTTAAATTATGATAATTTTCATTATGACTTATTTATTTGCAATATTTGTTTTATGTGGTTTCATTATTATTTTTTGTTGAATATTTTAGTGTCATCACTCATATTATATTTTGTGTTGTCTTTTTAAGAACACCTTCGATAGTTGTATTTCGGTAGGAGTAAAATGAAGAACACTTTTGATAGTTGTATTTCGGTAGGAGTAAAATGTATTTGAAGTACAAGTTAATTATATGTTTGTATGAATACTTTAATGAAAAACTCAAAAAAATTCGGAAAAAAACCAAGGTTGAAAAACCTGAAATTCATTAGTTTGATTTGGTTTATAGATTCAAAACCTGATACAAATGATTTTGTTTGGTATTTAAAAAAACCGAACTAACCCGGGCCATGTATACCCCTATCTAGCTAAGCGTATGTTAATAAGATTGTAAACCATATATGATGAGAGTCTCCATCTGTTTGTGTTTCACGGACGTCTTGACTCAAGTATTTGTTATTGATGCCCATGTCATAGGTAATAGGCTTCATATTTGTTATTGATGCCCATGAATAGTTTTTCTTCATTTAATATTAGTTAAAATTGCAAAATTGAGAGGGAGCAAGTTTATGAGACTTAAGTTATAGATGTGTTGGTTATAATGCATATAATTATATTTTGTTCATACAACATGGATATTTGATAAATATGTATTTAATAAGGGTAGTATTGTCCTAACATAAATTCAAAATAATTTATCCTACTACAAAAAAGATATCAGTTGTTTTTCCAAAAGTTTGTTAAAAACTTAACTCTAAAAATTAAAATATTTTTTAAATTTAAAACAACACTATTAAATTGTCAACCAAAAAACCTATTCCCTCGGTCCCAGCTTATATGAGTTACTTTGACTTGACATATAATTTAAGAAAAAAATGAAGATTTTTGAAACTTATGATCTAAAATAAGTGATAGATGTTTGTATGACTATAAATCATTTCATTAAGAATAAAATGAATATTTTGAAGTTAAACTATTACTAAATATAGAAATAGCTCATTCTTTTTTTAACTGACTTAAAAGAAAAGTGTGTTATATAAATTGAGACAGAGAATAGTACGTTTAACGACAGTAACACCTCCAAAGCACTCAAGGGGTGGCTATTCTTTCTTCTTCTTTTAGTTTGAAAATATTTTTCATAAGTTAAAGAATATTGGAAAATAACTTATTCGCCTTACACAAGATAGGGGGTAAAGTGTTACCATGTACAGCATCATGTGAAGTGAAAGGTTTGCCACCTTGGTCGATCCAAAACTGTAATCTCTCTTCTGCAATATCTGCCTCCACTTCGTGATTTTTCGCCCTTCTCCAAAAGTATGTCAGCCATGCCTAAAATAATATTAATCTTACAAAATTAATAAATTTGAAAACAAAATCCAAAAGTAGGTGTTAAAGAGTCTAATATCAGTAGAGGAATGATAATTTGGTCTCCTTATATGGATTTAGACAAACCTACCTTCAAGAGATAGCTTTTGGGGTTGAGTTAGGTCCATGTATCATATTTTTACATAGTATTAGAGTCAGACCCATCCCAATTTGTTGTTCACCAATATTGGGCCCCTATTTAGAAGTATTCACGCTCCAGTTGAGGTTTGGGCATGCGGGGGAGTGTTAAAAAGTCTCACATCGGTAGAAGGATGAGAATTTGATCTCCTTATATAAACTTGAACAAACCTCCCCTCAAGTGCTATCTTTTGGGGTTGAGTTAGACTCAGATGTCATAACTTGAAGAATGGTTCTCAAGGTAATAAAAGAAGATCTTCATCTCCTTATTTTGACCAACCAAATGAAACAAATAATGAGAGTTGAGAGTCGTTCACAGATAGATAGTTATAGGTCTATAAAGGAAAATAGGGAGTGTGAGCATGTTATGATGAGGTGTCTAAAATAAAAGAGGTTTTTTTTAGTGTGGTTTAGTCATTTTGAGAATATCAAATATACTAAATTTCTTAGTTATGTTATATTTTGTCGCTCGAGTATTATTTCTCCATGTAAAAAAAAGCTTGGTGTCCTTGTTATCTTCTTGTTCTTATTATTTAATGTGGATAATATTAGTACATTTTACGAGATTCTCACAAGTGCATTGATAATGTAAAAAAGATAAAACATCAAACTGACTTATTTCTAAGTTATAAATGAAAGTATTCAAATTTATTTCGAATTTCTATTCAAAAGTGATGGCTATTGTGCATCAATAAAAAAGGTATAGGGAGAAAGTAAATAATGTGCGTGTAGTACAATTTTTTTTTTAATACTTAAATTTGATTATATGATGTGTGTTATTAAAGAGTTTAAATATTTTGAATTCTATGATGGTATAATGGTTCTTTACAATCCCACTAAAAGATCAATAGGAAATAAGAAGAGCCACTGGAGCATCTTCTTAAAACCAAGGCATCCTTCAAAGATAGTGTAGGTAAAAAGAATTACAGAGAAAATTGATGAGGAAGAGGCCGTGGTGAACGTGGAAAAGGAAGAAGTTATGATAACAATTTCAATAATGAAGATAAAAAGTCACCAAATATTTAAAGATTGTGGTCGTGGACAAAAGAGGGAGAAGATGATGTGATTACTTTAAATAAATAAATGGAATACAGTATGAAAAATATAAAATTTGAGTATAATAATTTTCATAAAAAATTGATCAATACTCTTGGGAATGTCAGTTGATCAAGAAAGCTAATCATGTTTATGAGAAAAAAAAAGATGAGTAAACATTGTTGTTGATACTTAAAAAAGAAGACAATATAATTTTAGCTCGTTCTATTTGGACAATGAATCAATAAATCATATGTGTGGATGGAGAAATACATTCTTAGAGATCAATAAAATGGTGAGAGGTAATGTCTCTTTTGGAGACACCTCAAAGAACCAAATTGTAGGATACATACCATATTTATCTCAGATAAAGATGGTGACCACAAACTAAATAAAAGATGTTTATTATGTGTAAAATTAGAAACTAATATTCTAAATTTGAACTAATTACTTGAAAGGAATATGATATTCATATGAAACATATACAAAATAATTTAAATAATTGTTAAAGTGTATACGGTAAAGAATTGATTATTTTCTTTGAATGTTAAATCATTAATATCAAGTGTTTGAAGCTAATGTGCAAGATAAATCATAGTGTTAGCACGTATGATTTGGAAACCTAAATTTTGATGCACTTAAATGAGTGGGAGAAAGAATTTGGTGCACGGTATGCCTTCACTCAACCATCACAATAAGTTGTTTGAAGCTTGTGTTCTTGAAAAATATGTAAGGAAAAAATTTCGAATAAAGATCACGTCAAGATCAACCAAATCAATCCATCTTATTCTTACTAATATGTGTAAGTCAATTAACCCACCTTCTTTTGAAAAAAATAAATATTTTATTATTATATAATGATGATCTTAGTAGAAAGACTTTTGAGTCTATTTCTTAAAGTTAAAATTAGAAGCTTTTCTTACGTTTAAAATTTTCAAAGTACTTGTAGAAACACAGAGAGACTATGATCTAAAAACTTTTAGGCCTGATAATGGAGGTGCATAAACTTCAAAAGAATTTAATGAGCTTCATGAAATTTGTCACCTTCTTATGAATCTGTACTCCACCCCCAATAAAATAAAGTTGTAAAGAGAAAATAAAATAGCACACTTGTAGGAATGGCAATGGGCGGGGTGGATGCGGGGCGGGTGGGTGCAGGGCGGGTTGAAGTGAGTTTTTTTAAAATTAATGTGGGGCGGGGCGAGTTGCGGGTATATGTGATTTTATGTGGGTTCAAACTTAATTTTAACTTCTTACATGTTATAAGAGTGATAGAAATTATTTATAATTTCTTTACGTAAACTGTTTTGAATGACTAAGAAACTAGAAAGAAGAAAAAATTATCTCACTACTTGCATTTAATATTTTGTTATTACATCAAATGTAACCAATTCAAATCTACCAAAAAAATGTTGCTGACATATCTAAAAGAGTTATAAAACATTGTAATGTTAAAATAATGTTATAACATGTTAATTTTAGAGATTAACAGCTAACAAAATTTTAATTTCTTAAGTTGAAACTTACTGAGCCTATTATTTGAAATGTTTTTTCCAAAATATGTGGGATGGGGCGGGGCGGGGCGGGTTGAAAACAACAAAATATGTTATGTGGGGCGGAGTGGGGCGGGTTGAGATCTTAAAGGGTTTAAGCGGGTTTACCCCGCAACTGCCCCGCCAGCCCCATTAACATCCCTACACACTTGTTCATATGTTTAATGCTAAAAAATTACTAAAGAGATATATATTGGTTTGAGGTTGTTTTTTTTGTAGTTTATTTTCATTAAGTTTGAGCGCACCAAACTTGTTTGTAGGTAATAAAAGAATGTGTCCAAAAGACCAGCGATAATGAGGGAGTAATTCCGGAGGGAAAGCTGAACTACATTAAAAACTCTATATTGTATCTCTCCATAAATCATATGTAGCTCTTATTATTAGTTCATCAATTTCCCCATTTTAAGATACTAAACTCATAAAAAAGTTAACATAACTCAGTCTACATATTCCATTTCCAGGTGCACTCAACTGCAATATTCTCCCTCAGAACTAGCTTCATCATTGTGCAGTAAGATATATGCCCTTACTCAAGTCTTTTATGGAAATAACCTTTCACTCATTCACTGAGAATCTCCCTATATTTGTCATTATTTTCCTTGATACTTAGTCTACTTACCTAGTAATCATGTTGTTCCTTGGGGTTTGGTCCTTCATCCTTTGTCGAGGTCATTCTTAATCAATTCATAGTCCTTTTTAAGACCTCTAATCAAAATGAGTCTTGAGGTATGTACCACTTTTATTTAGGAATGCATGACTACATAATAGGGGTATATAAAGCTTACTCTAGAAAAAATGTTTTATTTTCTCAAAACATGATCACTTCTAGATAAAAGCTTTTACAAACACGGATTGAGATGGATATTTTGATGATAGAAGATCTACATCCATTTGTTGTGCATTCATATATAGGAATGAATTTAGTTACTTTGAGAAGTAAGAGCCAAAGAATAGTATAAAATCAAATGCTAAAAGAGTTATGATCCAGCTGGGTGTCTTATGATCTGTTATTTTGGAGCTGATGTTAAGTTTTGATTTTTAACAAACTTAGAGATCTAACAAGGAACCAAATCCTTGTTATTGGGACTGATGGTATCATCATCAAAATGGGGGGAAATGTTATATTCTAGGTGTTTTGATGATCCACACAAATGCAGGGACCTAGTCCTTGGCAGAGTGCTCTCGTCCAGATTCAAATGGAGTACAACTGTAAAGCTGTCATGTCAGGTGGTAGGTGAAAAGTGTAGTGTACTGCACCAATAGGAAGAGCGGACGAGACTGTCTGCCAGGGACCCAGTCCCTGGCTGAGTTCTCTCATCCAGATCTATAATGGGGTACAACTGTAAAGCTGTTCTGTCAGAGGTTGGTGAGGCGTCAGCGTACTACACCAATCAGAATGGACGAAGTTGTTTGTCCAACGGTCAATAACTCTTTATGATTGACTTAACCAACATGACAAACAACAAATTAATTCATTCATTCAAAAGGAGAGAAAGCCAGCAAGTCTTCTCAAGAAATCACCAAGAAAAGTTTGCAAGGGACCTGGTGTTGGGTTTTAAAGGTGTGAACAGGAAATGAAGGGTTGTGACTCTCCTGAAGAGTTGTGACTATGCCGAAGGGTTGTGACCTTTATGAAAGGTTGTGTCCTTTCTAAAGGGTTGTGACCGTTTGAAAGGTTATGCCTTTTTCAAAGTGTTGTGACCTTTCTGAAAGGTTGTCTTCTTTCCAAAGTGTTGTGACCTTTACCCTTTGTTGGCTATAAATAGAGAGGTTTTCTCTCATTTTCTACATCGAATTACTTCCTTTCGTTTGCATACATTTCTTACAAAACAAAATCAATTGTGTCTGTGTGTGTGATTCGTTGTTGTCATTTTGAGTTCGTTGAAATTATCGAAGTTTGAGGTACCGCTACTTCTTTAATGGTTAATCCGTTTTATCTTGACAGGAATTAATCTGCAACCTCGGGTACTTGAGGGGATTAAATTTCTTAAGGACACACAGTGGGTTCTGTGGACTCGGATAGTTCTGTGTGTTTTTCTTTTCATCTTTTATTGGTTCTGGTTTGCTAATCTGAATTCCTATATTCTTGGTTTTATATAACTATGAGAAGAAGTAAATGAACAGATGTTGTCTCCTAACAATATTTGAACATGAGTTTAGTTTCTCGTTGAAATTCAATGTCTTCTGAGGAAAATTGGAATATGATAGAAACTGGAAAAGAAGGAAAAAATTAGCAAG